ACACCAGTCCTCAGGTCCTTACACTGGCTTCCAGTTATATTTAGGATTGATTTTAAAGTACTTTTACTCGTTTATAAATCACTCAATGGCCTAGGACCTAAATACATAGCAGATATGTTCACTGATTATAAACCTAACAGACCACTCAGATCATTAGGATCGAGTCAGTTAGAAATACCAAGGGTTCACACAAAACAAGGGGAATGTGCTTTTAGTTATTACGCCGCCCGCAGCTGGAATCAGCTTCCAGAAGAGATCAGATGTGCTAAAACATTAGTGACATTTAAATCTAGACTCAAAACTCATCTGTTTAGCTGTGCATTTACTGAATGAGCACTGTGCAATGTCCGAACTGATTGCACTATATTTTATGTATAATCATTTTCTATTCTTAACCGTTTTAAATTCATTTTAAACCTCTTAAATCAATTTTTAAATAATTTTCAAAGTTTTAAATTCCTTGTCTTTTTGTTTTTTATTATTATTTTTCATTTATTTTATGTAAAGCACTTTGAATTACCATTGTGTATGAAATGTGCTATGTAAATAAACTTGCCTCTCCTCTACTGACATCCATTAAAAAAAACGGCATCTGGTCTCCTTTCCCCATGTACTGGCAAACCGGAAGCGTTAGCATTAGCCGTTACACTTTTCTGGCTAAAGGTTGCAGGCTTGCCTTCCAGTGGCTTTGACATTATAACTTAAAATATTTTGTACAACTAAAATAACTGGAAGCGGACCATATCGTAAGCTTTGCATATTCAAGTTAAAAATGGCCACGCCTTTTCCTCTTAAAGGGGTCATATGATGCAGTTTCAATTGTTCCTTTCTCTTTGGAGTGTTACAAGCTCTTGGTGCATAAAGAAGATCTGTAAAGTTGCAAAGACTAAAGTCTCAAATCCAAAGAGATATTCTTTATAAAAGCTAAGAGTCAACCACACATGTGTACATCACTGTGTGGGAAGATTTGCATAACGCCGCCCAAATGTTCACGCAAAGAAAGAAGGCATAATTTTTATTCTCGCTGTAGTATTGTTGTTGCCGCGGCTGCCATGTCCTGAAGGCGCGGTGTTTGGTTGTGAAAGCGAAACTACATTGTCTGGTCTTCCAAAAGAGGACGATATCCCGGAGTCATCACATGTGGCTGCCGCAAGCCCTCCGGACACTCCTTCGTCGAATCCGCCGGCCGCACCATTCTCAAGCCCACCGCCGCCACTCACTCTAGCCCGCCGTGTGTTTTGTTGTGAAAACGAGTACTTTTGTTTTACACCACTGAGGACAAACTGGATGGATATCTATATATATATAAACAACTGATGTGCAAGAGTGAGACAAACCTGTTATTTAAACAGGTTGCATTAATGTATAATGTGAAATGTAGAAACCGGAATACCCAGTATCACGGTCTGGCACGCCCCCTGTCAAAAAAACTAAATGCTTCTAAAAGTAAGCTTTATACTCCCTAAGCAAAATTTCGTAATAGCAATGCAATCCAGACATGTTTTCATGAGACACACCCAAGAACATGACCAGTGAATTTTGAACTGACCTGTTGTGGACGTCAATCATGCGTTTGGCGTAGGCATAACCATAATTAGAGTCATGGGGCGCACCGTTGTGCATCTGACACACAGAGAGAGAGAAACACGTCACCACCAAGTTAAAGAAACACACGGGTATTTTACACAATTCATGCAACCAATCAGACATCCACTGGCTAAAACTGCTCATAATCATGCATTTTTAACCACTATTTCCATGAGGTCCGGTTTTTCATGACCATTTTCTCTGTTGTTTAGGAATGATTGCATCTATCCTACATCCTCATAATCTCAACATGATTGGACAGGACAAGTTTGAACTGAGCCTTTTAAAGGAATGTCAAACGCATGCACAACAACTGCCTATTAAAGTGTGTGTTTGCTTTACCATGGTCTCATCTATAGGGTAGGTGGTTTTATCTGGAAAAACACACGTAGACAGACAGGATACGACCTTCACCACGCCGAACTCATGAGACATGTTCAGCACATTGTCATTGATGTGCACATTATTCCTCTGAAAACAAGATGCAAATACAGATAATATATATAGTTTAATCATTCAACAGTGACATTTCCAACCTTTTGTTACTTATGTTAATAATTACCCAGAAGTCCAAGTTCTGTCTCATGTTTTTATAGAGTCCGCCCACCATGGCGGCTAAATGAATGACGTGCGTGGGACGATGTTTCTCGAAGGCTGCTCTCGTCTCTTCAGCGCTCCTAAAGCAGCACGTGTAAATATATTTATCATGCATGGGACACAAACTACGGTGCATTCTGGAATGCTTTTAAACACTAGTGAAGCAATGTAATAAAAGCGTTCTATAATCCTGAGAAACACAAATTCAGTCAAGTGAAAATTATACGGCATATTGCATGAGGTTATTATAACATGCACTTATAGAATATAAAGCACATGTTATATAATATATGTGATGATGTGATATTTTAATGATTGTTTGTGTGACGTCTGATGAGTGTTTCTTACACGAGATTGGCCTCTTTGGATGACAGGAATATCCATTCTTCTCCTTCTCTCTCTTTGCCCTCCTTTTTCACCACCCGTTCTATCGCTCGCCCCACCAGCCCACTGCCACCCGTCACCAACACTCGCATCGGCCCGACCGACCCGTCCATCTGAGGGAGAGAGAGAGAGAGAGAGAGAGAGAGAGAGAGAGAGAGATGGGGCTTGATGAACACTTCAGGGGTTAAGAACTATGGTAAATAATCAAGTATTAATCGGTCTATGGTGTTTGTTTGTTGTTTTAAGTGTAATGGTATTGATGCATCAGATTTCCATTGATGTACTATAGTAGCACAGCAGTGTTTTTGTAAGGTTATATATATATATATATATATATATATATATATATATATATA